ATGTAATTGGATATAATTGATTTATATAAAAAAAAAAATTGCAATCAGTTTATAAAAAAAAATTTGTAATAGATTTTATCATTGCTGCTAAACAGTTCCTTCTATTGACTAGTATAAGCAATACACTAGCTAACTTTATATTTTTATTGACTTGTTATAGCTTTTGCTTGACTACCATAAATAGGTAAGCAACATTTATTGATACTGTAATGCTCTACTATTACTTTATTACTGCCAGTATTAATTATGACACTATTTAACTAGTATAGACTGAGGCAACAAAAGTCATAAAGCTGTAAGAAACCATTGATTTCTTTCTATAAAGGGTAAATAGAGAAAATTTTTAAATCGACATATTCTTTATATATTGTATTGATTAAGCATGTTATATGTCTCCAGTGAACAATCCTGAACTAGTGCAGATAGGTCCATGTTGATACAAGGTAGTGCTTGCAAGTGTCGATACAATATCGATATTACCTCTAATGGGAAATCCTGGACTAATAACCTGTGCTGTGTCGGTACTGAGGCAAGAATGATACAGCAAGGGTGCCTTGTGTCTCCAGTGGGAAACCTTGAACTAGTGCAGGCAAGCTTGTTGTTGAACATTGTTTGTAGTGCCAGTTGATACCATTTGTTATCAGTGGGAAACCTTGGATTAGTATATGGAATTTTATTGACAACAGGCTATTTTTGGTTGTTGATTTTTTGTTTTGCATTAGCAAGGTACTATATATACTAAGTTAATTTTAAATGTCTCAATTTAGAAACCTTTATTACTATTCTCTATTTTCTTGTATCACAAAAATATGATGATCCAATAAAATATGCTGCATTTTTAAATGAACTGATATATCACTTGCTAAATGTTTGCCTGGCTATTTTTAATTCTAATATCAATACTTATTAGAATGTAAATATAATAAAAAATACTTGTATATATTTTTAAGTTTATTAACAATAAAACAATATCAGGTCAACTGATGAAGAGATTTTTGCGATTCTTGGTTATTTGTAATAATGATTTGAAAAATGCTATCACTGCTTTGAGGGCTAACATTGACAATGCAAAAAAATTAAAAAAAAGATCCATAAAAATTTTATAAGTTAAAATTTTTACAATTTTTTTGTAATTGTATTAACTTAACTAAATTACAGATCAAAAAGAATTTATTGACTCAAAAGTATCTTGAGGAAATATATGCAGTAAAAATAATATATCTTAATCCCCTTCCTAGTTACGATGAAAAAAAAATAAAAAAAAAGTAAACATTTAAAAAAACAAATCTCTTGCTTTCCCATGTATTTGTGATCGATACTGCCTCCTGTCTTCCAATAATAATAAAAAAAAATAAAACAATAATAATTTGTGATAAAGCCTTCAACAAGGTGATACTGACTGTATACCAAAATCATATTGGTCCTGATGTACTTGAACTTATGAGAAGCACAATTATCAATATATTTGTTTTACGCCAACAAGTTGCCTAATCACCAAAAATCAAAGAATTGGATCAAAGTACCTTATCAGCTACAGGATATATATTTAATTAAACTTAAGTTTTTAATTTTTAAAATTTTATTAATATTAATGTTTGCAGGTATCTTTTGAAAAAAGAATGTATAATATTTACCTATATGTATAACATACCTGTTGAATTACAAGAGTCTAAAAAACAATATTTGCAAGAAAAAAAAGTTATAGTAATGAACAATTTTTTTTTCAACTATACTATACATATATTTCCTAAAGATGTGATCACAAGTATACAAAAAAAAATAGAAGAATATGATCTACCCGACTAGATAACAACAAATATGATATTATCAATTAAGGAATTATAGTTTCTTTTGATAATAAAAAAAATTTATTTAAACCATCCTTTAGATTTATATGAAGCCTATGTAGCCTGGAGATACAGCAAATTTGTTCATACCAATATTAATTTTTGAACTATATAATTGTAGCTACTTGTCTGAAAGAAATATGACCTATTAACAATAAAAAATTTGTTTGCAGTAAAGGGAATTTTGATGAAGGCAACTTTTATATAGTTAAATAGAGAATTAAAGTTGAAATGACAGATATTTTTTAAATATTAAATTATGAATAAATTAAAATTGTCACAATTTTTACTAGTAAATACTCTTTATTGCTAGTCAGAGAATAAATTGCATGGTACTACAATATTACCAATAGAAGGTATAACTTGTAGATTGTCCCAAAATTTGATCAAAAAAACAGTATCAGCTATAAAAAAATAAAAAGAAGATAAAAAAAAAGCATATTCTATAAATTATTAACATAATCAATTATTGACTGATCAATATTGATAATAAAAAATAAAGAAAAAATGATATAGAAAATCAAGTTATTTTAGAGAATACTGGCTATAAAGAGGAGTATATTAATATAGAAGCAAACGAATGACCATGGGTTGTATAAATAAATTTATTTAAATTTAATAAAAGAAAAAATTTTAAATTTAAAGTTAAAAAATATTTCTGAAAGAAAATATACTAGTTAAAATTTTTTTTATTAAAATAAAGCCAGATTAATTTAAACATATTTAATTTAATTTAGTTAAATCAAAGCAGTTATAGTTAAACATGCTTTGAAACAGATTCAAAATATATCAAATTGATTTTAAATTGTTTTTGCATCGAATTCAAATCAGATTGAATCAAATCAAATTCAAATTTGAATCAGATCAGATTAAACTATTATAGTTTCGAATCAGATTGAATCAATTTAAAACTAATCAGATTCATATCTGATTTGTATTTATAAAAATCAAATCAAATCAAATCTAGTTAAAATCTAATCTGATTCAATCTGTTATGATTACTACAAATAGATATTATTCTTATTATGATTATCAACTTAATCCAATATAAACACTTTAAGGATTATATATACTTAGACCTATTTGTTGAAACTATATTCTTTAACAAAATTGAAAAAAAAAGAATCCATTCAACTAAGATAAAGATTATAAGATACTTCAATCATTTTTAATATTAAAGTTATCTATCCTTGGTAATCAAGTAGATTTTAATAGCTTTTATAGATAGGTAAAGATCTATTTCATTTTATAAAAAACAAGCAAGGTGAATAGGTGATTTTTTTTAGTTGGCAAGTTTTTTATTTCTGATTCATGGTTTGTGGAAGAACCACAAACTGAAGATCAATATCAAGACTTTGGACACAATTTCCTCTCAAGTATGATCATCTCGGCCACCAGTAGTTCCCACCAATCTTACTTCTAATAAAAATACTTGTTGAAAACTATTGCCAGATTGGAAGATTCCTTAAAAATTTAATTTGATTTTGGAAGAGTTGTGTTTTTTTAAATAAGTAGCTAATATTTGAAGTTAATATTATTTTTAAATTGAATTATCAATCCCTTACAGGTTTTAAGACACTCTCCTGACTATAAATATTATCTGATCTTTGGATGAGTAGTTCTCTAAGTAGACTTTTAGATGAGATAATATTAACAAAGTTGACCTTTGAAACCATTTCCCTCTTGTCTGAAAAGATAATAATGTAGAAGAAGTCTTCTTCTTTTTCTTTCAAAGATAAAGAAACACAATACTCTGGTGAATAATCCATAGGTATTGACTTCTCCTTGATATTAGTCCCATTGAACGGTTGATAATAGAGAAAATTTAGATTGTTGTCTAGCAATGTTTTGGTGTTTTTTTTTTTATATTTTTGATACTAGTCTAAAAGTAATTTTAAATTTGTCTCTTCTAATTTGGAATAACAAAATGCAATCTGGTAAACTACTATATTAAATTTTAGGAAGTTTGATAACACTTTTAATAGTTATAATAATTTTAATGTATTTTGAATTTTATTCTATTATCACTAATAAATATAGCTGAGCTGACAATTAAAAAAAAAATTAAGATGAAAGAAAGTAATAAGTACAAATTGTTATACAAGATTGTTAGGTGTTAAATATCTTGATATCTTTTATATGCAGATAAGTAATAACTCTTTATGCTTTAGAAGGCTATCCTTCTATTTAAGTAAACATCAAATTGAAATATTTTCATAATAGGCAATTCTTTTGATTTCCAAAACCGCTAGAATAAGAGAAAATGATAAATGTTTAAAAGTTACACTTAGAGTTTAAAACTAAGACGAGTTAGGGAATCAACTTTAGCGATACAAGAAGAAATTTATCAACATGCATTCAAATACGTGATTGACTAAAATGTGATCAGTCGTCATACGTGGTTATGCAAAGCATATTCTACTCTACTTTGTAGGTCGCATTACTTACTATGTGTATCACGTTGATTTAAAATTTCAGGTATAAATTAAAAAAAAAAAAAAAAAAATTTAAGTTCTTCAAAATTCTATCAGCTTTTCATTTAAGAAGTACTACTTTGCCCATTTCTATTTTTTTGAGGTGGAAGTAGTAGTTGTTGATCATTTAAGTTGTAGAAGAAGGGGTAGCAGTCTCCAGGAAGAAGCCCATCCCTTTTAGTCAAGCGCTTCATTCTATAAAGTATTTGGTCAATAAAGATGTCTTTCTCCAGAAGAGGTTGCTTTAAATGCGGCAATGGTTAGTAGGCGATTTTCTTGCTGTTATGTCGACTACAAAATTATTCGAAAAGACGAGAGATGAATTTTAGCTATTAATGCTGACTCATCAGACTGAATACTTTCGTGCTCAAGGATCAGTCAACATTAATAATTTATTTCTAATAATGTGAAACTTTAGTTGGACATTTCGCCGACTCCTGCCCTGAACCTGAGAGATTATGCTACAATTGCAAGCAACCAGGACACGAGGCTATTCAGTGCTCCCAGCCCAGGACTACCGAATCTAAACAGTGCTATTCTTGTGGTGGCGGTAGGTGACAGATTGTACAATGATTATCTATACCATTTAGTAGGGTGAAAGTAACCATAGTCTTGTGCAATTGATAAATAGTTGGGCACCTTCAAGCTGACTGCCCCTCCTCTGTGCGTATGAGTGGAAATGGAGGTGGTGGTGGTAATGGCCGCTGTCATAGTTGTGGTCGTTTCGTAAGTAATACCCATTCAGTTAGTAACATCTGTTTTATTGGTTATTTTCAACTCTCTTGTTTTCTTAGGGTCATTTGGCGCGTAACTGTAATACTAGTTATGGTCGGGGAGGTGGAAACCGTGGATTTAATCGTGTTGTTTGTTACAAGTGTAATGGATATAACCATTATGCTAGGGACTGCAAGGCTAATGATGTGAAGTGTTACAATTGTGGCCGTTTTGGTCATTTCGTGAGTATCCTTATGCTATTATTTTCCACCAATATTATACCTTACTTACGCGTTACTTAATACAGTCTCGTGAATGTACAAATAACCCTCAAGGGGATAAATCTGTCAAGACTTGTTACCGATGCAATGAACGCGGTCACATTGTGAGAAGTTTTATCTTGACTATGTTAATTTAAAATGAGATCCTTCCGATATTCAAAAACGCTGACTATAATATATATATGTATATATATATTTTTTTTTTTAGTCCAAGGATTGCCCCAATGCCTTACAATCTAATTAACATTTATACCTTGTAAAAACTTCTCGCATCCACCGGTGGAGACAATAGGTTTGTTTTAACCTATATCGGGAAATTTATGACTGAAATAAAATCTACACATTTTCTCCATTCACAACTCAGAATTCTTAAAAATCCCTTTTATATTCATATCCCACACGCGAATATTACTTCTCTATTTCTCATGTACCGTTTTTATAATTATTTTCAGATCGATATTTCTCGATTTGAACGGTAATTTACTATTTAATATTTATATTTCGGTATTTTTGGAGTTTGACTGGTTCGAAAAAATATATTAGTTACAAAAAAAAAAATTCATGAATGATCCGTTTCTTGTTTACAACATGAATTTATTTGATGGAAAAGACAGCATTGTTCTATTTCCAACAACCTCTACATTAATAATAGTAAGTGAATGCTAGAATTATCGAATGATCCATTCATTCTTTTAGCGTAAGGTGTGCAATACTGAACAATCCCTTTGTACAATTACGGGTAATATGTAAAATTGCTACATGCTAAATATGTAGCCAAACACAATATTTATTTATTAAATCGCTTCGAGATTTTGACATTTTTTTGAGAAACTTATCAAGTAGTTCAAAACAAAAAATATTCACAATATATTTAACTTTTATTTTGTTTTGCGATAATGCAAAATTTATAACATTAAGTTATCTATGCAGTATGTTTATCTTATTTTTTAATCACAATCATGCCACCATGGTGTGTCTTTATTGTGATATTAAATAAGTATCTACAATGTTATATTGACTCATCACATGATGACTAACTTGTTATTGTCATTATTAAAGGATTACACTAATTAAAATATAGGGAGTCTGCTAAACTGATTTGAATTAAACAAAACCAAGTACTTTGGTTTTATATTTCTGTACTAATAAACTTAAGTTATATTTAGAAGATAAGATAATATTTTACTCTTTTAATAGATTGGTATTGGATTTTTTATTTATCAAGATTATTGTTAACAATTTATTATTATAAATTATTTCAAAAAATGATGAATTGTTAAATCAATTAGGAAAAAAGGAAAAAAATTTTTTAAGATTTTCAAAAGATTCTTATTTAAGTAAATAATTATTATTTAAAAGATATTTTAACTTTAAATTATTTAAAAAACTTATTTATTAATTATTAAAATTATATATTATTTAAAAAACTTATTTATTAATTATTATTATTATTTTTTTTTTTTGCCCTCTGTCAGGCTAGTTACGTATACTTTATTAAACATTTGTAAGCTGTACATATAATATGAGACGCTAAAGCTAATTCTTTAACTAATTTACTTGTCTAGGTTATTTTACCTTTCTAAGTGCAACTTTGGGAGTAATTTATCACTCCATTAGGAGTTCAGGTGAACACCCTTCCAACTTCTAACATCATTGCCTGCAGATTACTACTGCAGATAGCTTATTTATTAATTATTAAAATTATATATTATTTAAAAAACTTACTATTTTTTTTTTTTTTAACATGTAATCAGGTTAGCATAGCATGTCTTTAGTATATATATACAAAGATATTTATAAGATATTTTGACTTTCACATACTAACTCACTCATCATCGAAAATTTATTTTTCTAGATACAACTTAGGAAATGATATTTTGCTTCTTTACTAATTTGGATAAATCCTCTAGTCAATAAAATTATTACCTATAGGTCATTACTATAGATCATTCTAAATTCCAATTGCAATTAAAAACCAAACTATTTCCTTCTATAACAAATCTAATCTTTAATGATTTTCATATACTTCTTTCTCTCATTTCTTTTAAAAGATTCCTTCTTCAAGTCTTCTAAAGATGTTGAAGATTCTTTCTATTTTTGTATAGTCTATGCATTTGATCTATACCCAGGTCTTTTAAATCTTTTATTCTTTTTAATAATATTCTACTTCTTTTTCCATTCTATTACTTTAGTACAACAGTTGTTCTAGATATTATCTTTGAAATTTTTCCTTATTTTATGATAAAACTTATTAATTATACTTTGTATGGATGCTGGAGGAATTTTGAGTTATGCTTTGAGGTGATTCTTAAAAAAAGTGGTTTCATTTTCTTCTATGTATCTACAAATAGTATTAAAAAGGGTTCTATTGAATTGCTAGATCTTGTTTAGCCATCTACTTGTTCAATTATCAATTATAGGATAAACTTCTTTCTTATCTTTAATTTTTTTACAAATATAATTATTAATTTTCTCTTTTGCTTTCTACCATATGTCTTCTTTGGCTTCTTTGATAGCAAGACATTTAAAAAGGTATTCTAATGTCTTTTTTTAAAGTTCATATACTGGACAAGTCATTATAGTATAAATATCCGATCTCCTTTTCTTAAGTATCTATAGTACTGAAAGTTCATTGTGGGTTAAGTTGGGTAGAAAGCTTTTGGATTTATTATCTTTGAAGAAGGTATCAAAGGTGTTGGATGAATTGAATTGATTTCAAAAGGTTAACCAATCTATTATTTTATCTTTTTGAATCTACAGCTCTTGAATCCTTTTTTGTGTTGTTAGTCTTTTCCAATTCTTTTTTTGTTAAATGTTTTAATGAATTCTCTAATATTAATCTCTATTATATATTTGCTTCATGTAGCTATTATAAAAACTTTTTCTAACTCTGATAGTTGATTTCAGATTATCAGATTCTTATGTCAAGCTTGTTTAGCAAGTAGATCTATCTGATTATTGAACTTGTTGATTCCATAAACCTTAACCTTTGCAATTTTCAAAGTAAAATCTTTCTTATTTACTAGATTTTTGATCTTACTCTATATTGGCCAGTTGATAATCTTTGTTTATCTTTTTGTTGATATCTTTGTTTGTAAACTAATGGACTTTTATATCTTAACTGCAATATTACAATCAATAAAGATTAAAACTGTTGTGTTTCGAGAAGCAGTGAATAGTACAGTAAGAATGATCAATATTTTTACTCTAGTTGCTGATGGCCATATCAATGTCTCTACTGAGAATTGTTTTTCAACTTTGTTATCCTCTATTAAGACCCAAGCAAAACTCATTTCAAGTTCACCATCTTTTGTCCATTTTTTATAGGAGTTATTTGTATAAAAAGTAAACTGATTAGCTATACTTCTTCTATTGTATTGCAGAATATCTGTAAGTTTCTTTATATGTTTATCTGATTGGATAGCTTGTCTTATTAGTATAACTTTCTAGTTTTTTACCTGGATTTCTACTTCTACAAGTCTGAAAATAGATGAAGTTGATATTTATTGCCTTATAGTTATTTATCAGTCTGTGGAATTGCCTGATAGAAAAACTTGTTTTCCTTTTCTCAGATTTTCATATCTATTTAGTTGTAGAAGAAAACAAATTTGTGAAGGAACTATTTCTAAGATTTGAGCCAATTTATCCGATTGAAATAGAGTATAGTTTCTAGTAAAATCATATAATGACTAATATGGGGTGAACAGGATTTTGTTATTTAAGAATAGTATTTTTTCTAAAATATTAGTTGAAAAGCTGGAGTGAACTATCCAGTATATTTTTCTTTTATATAGATATACTAGAAATATTTCAGTTTGCATGTTATAGCCTGTCCAATCTAGTTCATATAATGATTTTCTTAAGTGATCTTGATTATTTGTCACCTTTTTATAAATTTTTTTGTACCAAGAAGGGACTGGTCCTTTGCACTTGTTAAAAAGAATCTGGATTGCTTTCCATTCCTTAAATATCATTGTAGTTATATTAATAATTTGATCCAGAAACATTATTTTATGCTTATGTAGTGATAGAATAGCTTTTTTATATTTTCTATCATTTTGTAGGATTGATTTGATAGATAGGATACCTCTCTGATAGTTAAAGATTTTCTTTTATTTTCAACTTTGAAATGTAATCTGTAGATATTTGACCAAGACCAATGTTGCAACTGTCAAATTATCTTTGATTAGCTTGTGTGAGTTTATAGAATTATCAAAGATATTTTCAGATTCCTAGTCTTTGATCTGGCTCTGTTTCAATCGAATTATAGTCACTATACCAAAGATCTCACTATTGTTAAGTTGGTAGAATAGTGTTGATATATGACTTCTCAACTGTATTTCTCAAATACTTTTAAGACTATATATTTCTTTGTTATGGATATAACTATTTGGAATTGTTCCACAGACTAAAGCTTTGTTTTTGAAAACTTTTTTGAATATAGCTGTTAGGTCATCATATATTCTCTCATTCAGATATATATATTGCATTCTATATTTTATTCTTGAAATCAAAACTCTATTGATAACATATCAGTCATGTTTTTCTATCAACTTTTTTTTGGTTATTGCCTGAACTACTACTCTGATTTCTGATTTTATTGAACTATTATGTCCTGATTCTTCTGTTTTGATTCTAACCAAATATCAAGAAATTTGGCTTAATTTTTTTTATGGATCTCATAAATAATAATATTCTCTATTTCAGCTTGAACCATTCTAAGGTCTTGAGGATTTCAATTAATAGTGAGGAGAATTGACCTTGTCACATTAATTTGTAAGTTATTTGCTATATAGAACTTTTTTGTTTCTTTTAAAATACTTTCCAGGTCTTTTTTTGATTTGGTGATTCAAGTCGTATCATCTATATATATAATTACTGCCTGCCTTAGAAAGAACTTGATCTTTTTCTCAGGTTTATACAAATTAA